AATGATAGTTATTGAAATGCTATACTGCTCTAAATTTTTGTTCAAAGATTCCGTTTAGCATTCCAAAAATACAGGCCACCGAAAAGAAATAGCTCTGCAAGCAAATTACTTTCTTCGCCAATCTTATCTAATGAGGCGAGAATCAAAGGGATATGCCGCACAGAAGGTGACTGACATCTATACAACCTCTTAAAGATAAGAAAGGGCAAATTCGCAGTCTAAACGCAACTAAAGAACTCATACTGATAAAAGAGGATCTAAAAACTTGGATTTTTCGTTTCTTGGTAAGAAAGGCAGAGAAAACCTCCGCTAACTTGCAACTGGACCTTTTGGAATGCCAGACAAATTGGATTGATGAATTCTGATGCTATGATCTGCCAAATCAGCTGCTTTTGCTCGAAAACGGAGAAAAATACTCATGAAATCTCCAAAATCATTTTCAGCTTTTGACTCCAATCTCCATAATTCAGATAAAATTTAGTTTATGGCAGATCTCAAAAAGCCTTTTACTACTTGCTCACGAACTTGTGTTTCAAACTGCTATTAAGCCTTTCCAATGCGAAAATAATGACTTCTAAACTCGGCGCCATACAACGTACACCCATAGCGCGCAGCCTATGTACAATAAAGAAATAAATGAAAAAGATAAATTAAATTTAGTAGTTTGAACAATTTGAAATGTTACGAAACTATGTAAATCACAAAAACCCACCTTAACTTTACTGGACTTGCGCAACTTCTCTGTGGGAGAGTTGAACAGTTGGTACGGAATGTAGTTCAGACAGTCGTAGACGAAGAACCACAATCGTAGAATTCCAATTAGGAAACGGATCCAAAGTGGTGACGAGCCTTTGACGACCTGTGCAGAAGCGCTAGTTACAGCAGACATGTTGACGTAGTGCGGTGTATGCGGCGTCCTGCGCAAGGCGTGATACGGCATAGATGTCATAAATTAGATCGACCGCAAGTTCGCCATTCGTCATATCAAGATCAGTACGCTAACTGATCGACACGGCAGCGTACAGGGAGAGGTCAGCGGGTGCTAGTACTTGCTATTCTGCTTAGACGCAAAGACTAGAGCACGCAAACATATTATTACACTATCAGTACGACAGCAACGCGATGTGAGTCGTCTGTCTGGGCATCGAACACTTTCAAATTTTGCTGTCTCACAAGTCTATCGCGTTTTTTCTTCTTACCATATAAAGTCATACGCTGTCCTCAATGGGTGTATGTCAAGAGGAGTGATTTTTATTGCCGGATGAACACCA